TGCAGAAATAGAGATGCACGCCTGAATCAGGGGAGTTCTACCTTTTTTCACGTTCAGTGCCAAGGTGAATGGAACAGTCAACGAACTTCTCTGAAAAAACACTGAAAACCAGTGATGTTGTTAAAAGTCAGACATAAAATTTTTGATTTGTTTTTATACAAACCTGAGGCTTATTTTCAATATCAATACGGTGATTATTTTGATCCTTTATCACAATAAAAACCAAGTTCTGTAAAAAATAATATGATTCAATTTCTTTTATGTAAATTCAGGACCTAACAGAGTGCAACTTTCAGCATTGAAGTCAAGCCTGGACTGGAGCAATCTGAGCATCAAGCAGAGAGCTGCATGTAGCCGGGAGACCTTGTTAGCCTCTCCCCTCTGATCAGTGAGGAATGACAGTGCCAGGGGCGAGGCACAGTCCCACCGGGGCTGCAGTCACCCGGTGCATGCAACAAACTCTGCCAACCTAAAACCGATTCCATGTCAAAGCCCAATATTAACACAGAGCCCATCTTAGATCTGCATGTTACATCCATGCGGTCATGTTATAACTATGTCTCTGATAACCGTCGCCCCTGGAGGAAAGATGTGAGGATGAGTCGTCAAATAATCTCAAAGATGCATCCCTCATTAAAAATACATGTGCAGAGTTCTCTTTAAGGCAGTGTAAAAAAAAAAAGACGTTTAGAACAGCTTGCATTACATATGAGGCTGATACGATCACAAAAACAGCTGTCACATGACTGAAAACAGCCGAGCTCTCCTCCCACTGGGAGAGTGAAATGGTTGTCTGTGTTGCCTTGCCCTCTAGCTGCAGTGTAAGGAAAAGTATTGACAGGTGAAGATATTAGTAGGATTGAAACCGTCGGGACTTGTAGATGACGGATCTCCTGCTTAAGTCACATGTCAGTCTTGTCTATATACTGTAACTGAGTTTATTCAGCAACGGCGGTGAGTCAGGCAGTTATTCATGGTATTAACGGACATTCTACAGACTGCATTTCTGCATAAGATAATGCTTCTACTCACGGATGGATTAAAACACTGGTAAGAGAACCACACATGTAAAAGTGTATGTACAAACCCTAAAACCAGCATGAAATTATATTTAGTTTTAAAAGCTCAAACCATGCTTTATATTTGTGGGGGGAAATGGGCATGTGTTCAAACACAAACGTATGTTTATACTAATTCAACTGTGCCACTTTTTGCAACTAAATGAGAATATAAGTGTTTTGGACAAGGTCAGAACATGTGGGTCATCGCAGCATCAAGTCTTCATCATTACGACAAGCTCAGCTCTTGCAGTTTTCGAGACACAGGTTAATTAGTGGGATTCCTTGCCACCGTTGCCCTGCACCAGTGACTAATTTAATGGCTTTATTACTGCAGCTTTCTGCCTAATTTAACTGCTCTGATCTTATTTGCCAAGTATCTAAAGGTATAAGTTCAAGGTGCTCCAGGTGAGCTCCAGGTTTGTCACTGCGGCAAGACGTGCAAACTCACTATTCATGCGCAGGAGGCTTTATTAAATGTCCATTGAACGCAATTAGACTGTCAGAGGAGATGTGTTTATCGAGTCTCGAGGCTAAAATCAACAGGCATCCCAGATTGGTCCAACACTGCCGCTTAATACCGTAGAAATGGCCACAAAGGCCTCTACAGTTAGATACAGCGTGTGATTATTTGTCACTAGTAGATTATGGTGCTTTAGAGGCCACTATCAAAAGGTAGGGATGACGAATGCTCAGCCAGACAGAGTAAAATTAAAACCAGCCACTGACAGTGTTTATCCCTCTGGCAACACAGGCAAAGCTCCTCTGTGGCTGAGAGACTACACAGTTGGTTGACTTCTCTTGCGAGTGGTGACAGAAGCCGCTGTCAGACAGACCATCACTCACTGTAATGGTGTCACCAGCTGAACAGCACTGCTGGCTGAAGCTCTCAGGAAGCGTGGAAGCATTTCATGCCCAGGAGAACTGAATGTACACAGGAAACAAGCATCTCAGGAGCAGAATGTCACACTGACTAGCTTTTACTCAAGTACTCAATTAGCATAGCCGCTATAGGATGTTCGGCTTCCCGCCCCTCATAGACTCAACAAGAGAATTTGAGTGAACATTATGGCAACATCTGACTGCAGTGTTAGACAGTTTTAATCTTTTATGGCGCAGGCATTTGCTGGCATTCACTAAATTTTTTTTTTTTTTTTAATGGCAATGCAGATGATCCCACAGCACAGCTGCTGCAACTAAAATGTATTTTTGTACGTCCACCAAGGACATTTAGTCCACTTTCTAATCTCTACCAGTAGCTTTATGACATAAAAGCACTCCTACTGTAAATTAATTATGATGTAGTGGTAATCCTCCCAAAAATCAACTATGATTTACTTTTCAATGACTTCAGCCAAGAACAATTTCTTGGGCAGAACTTCTGAGCCACTGCTGCCATTATTTCAGTGTGTATTTTCAATACACAAAATTTGTTTTTATATATAAATACTGTATATGACACAGTGCCAACAGCTATTACAAATACTGTTTTTTTTTATTTTAAGTAACCAATTAAAGCATGATAATATATGAAAAAAAGAACTACTGAAAAAAAAATTCAAAATAACCATTAAAATAGACCTACGGGGCAAAACTGAATTCTTAGTCATCTTGTGTCAGGCCAGATGCCAGGGTTTGTGTGGCAAAAGGGCTTTGATTGTATCACACAGTGTAGTAAGAAATAGATGATGGTCAACATGAACAGGTGGACACACAATGTGCAGGAATAACCTTAATTATTCCCAGCAGTTTTTTGCACAAGGAAATGGCACACACGTGTTTACTGTGGCTATTGTAGACTTGGCTCTGTCACACGTTACTAATCCATGGTGAAACCCAGGAAACACAATTATACAATTTTACATCTGCATGTAGAAAAACAGAGTTACCGTACATTCAATTCAATTCAAAGTGTTTATTGTCTTGTGTGTCCCTGTAAAATGAAAATTTTACATTGCTGTCCACACTGAATGCCAAAGAAATCAAGAAATAAAATAACAAAATATACACATGAATAAAATAACAAAATATACACAGGAATCAACAGAAAGATTTTCAGTATTTACAATGTGCAGTAGTTGACACTTGTGGATGTGCAAATAATACAATATTATTGTCCATTCCCGTTCAGGAGTCTGATGGCAGAAGGAAAGAAAGAGTTCTTGAGCCGGGATGTTTTGCATTTCAGACTCCTGTATCTCCGTCCTGAAGCGAGGAGAGTGAACAGTCCATGTTGGGGTTGGGTGGGTGGGTGTGCGTCTCAGACACCCGTTTGATAAGGAGACTGATTTACAAATTAAAAATTTAATTTAATTTTAAAATTTAAAAATTTACAATTTACATGACTAGAGAAGTACGTTATTTGGAGTATTTTGAAGTTGTAGAGCTAGTTTGACTGCAACACCAGATAAAAACCAAACCAAAACACACTCACACACACACACCATATCACACACACACACACACACACACACACATATATATATATATATATATATATACATATATATATATAGTATTATTATAGGTCGTTATGATCCCACCAGTCAACCTTGTCCCTAACGCATACTGGCATACACCAGTATGGGTGGCACACAGAATCACTGTTTATGCTTGTAAATCCAATTCACACCCGGTTCTGATGGACATACTTTCTAGGTGGTAGTTGTGCATGGCCCCAGATGAACACGCTCTTTTAAGAATAAGCTCAAAAGTAACCTTTACCACCTCCAGATGTGTCAACACATCCTCGGGGTGTCTTCAGTGGATTCACAGCAGCACAAAGGGTTGTTGGTTTGAGATAGAATCATCTCAGACACACGTTTGATAAGGAGACTGATGTGACGCCCTTATCTGGTAAATATAAGGCGACAGCCACCAGCTGGTTACAAGTCATTCTCCTGGTTGCTTAGTAACAGCTTCAAGCCTAGACATATCCCAGCACAGATTACTCAGTAAAACACTAAATAATATATAAAAATCAAATAATGTGTCATTTTCAGACAAGTAGTTTTTACAAGAATCATTTTTGTTTGCAACCAAATGTCCTATTCATATTCCAGGCTGTACCAACTGCTAGGATAACTCTAGTTAACTGTTTTCTAGGTATAACATTTTGGTTTTGGTTTGGTATCAGTATCACTGTATACCGTAATGAAGTTATTCATTATGATTTATATTTTGGTAACACTCAGAAACAAAAAACTGGATTGAAACTGGATGAATCCACCTGTTTGCGTAAAAGTCTCAATTTTTGTTTAGGTTTTCCCTGATACACTTTTTTATACACAATTTTCAATCTTAAGCTTCAGAAATAATTCCCTAGACTTTGCAGATAGAGTAAGAGAAGCTGTTTATTGTCTATTGTCTGCCTAATGAGATATTTTCAGTCCTCTCTGTGCAGCATTCATTTTCTTTTTAACATCTAAAGATTTTCTTTCTTGCTGTAGTTATTTATGTACCAATCACATACTCTATTGTTGCTGATATTTTTACTAAATCCTACATAGAACTCCCAAGGGATTCATAAAGATCTACCTGTCTCTCTGTCTGTCCGTCCGTCCATCCGTCTGTCCAACCGACCGCATTACCAACTTTTCCAAGATGGAGGTTTATTGCCAAATGTGTGCCCATGTTTCTTAGAAAATAACCAAAATGATGTTTCAGAATGGAATTAATGAGATAAGTGTTGTCCCTAAAAGGCGACATATACTCTTTAATATGCAGTTCAATTCAATTTTTATTAATAGAGTGCATTTATGCAGAAAGCAAACTCAATGTGCTTTTCAGTGGTTCAAACAGATAAAAAGAAAAAAACAGTGGTAAACATCCCCTGCCCCTACAGACCCTCACATCGGCTGAGAAACAACTACCAAGAAAAAACCCTTAATAGGGTAAAAAAAAAAAATTACAACAAGGCTGATGGGAGAGCAAAGGTAGCTGAGAAGACGAGAATGTTGCGTACAATAATGTGTTAAAAAAAGAGGTAATATCAATAGCAACATTCTCCAAAATAACTGGCTTACACTGAGACAATAGAAGTGGTAGGAAAGGGGGAATAGAGGGTGGGGGGATGAAAGAAGGCATTTCATGTATAATGTATTCTATTTTATAATGAATTCATATACTAGTTTCTTGGCCATTTTTGTAAAATTTTCACACATTTAATGAGATCAGTATTTACAACATAATTAATTATAAGAGTTGCTGGAATTTTTTTCTTTAGCTGCACTGACTAGTGCTAGATCACTGAATAGTGTGCAGTGATCGTATGTACCTACTCATTGACAAACGAATGAGCCTGCACTACCACCTGGTGGATTGTAGATGTCGTGCAGGGCGCTTGTGATTGGATAACGAGGCGCACATATGTGCCCTTTAAAAGCGGAAGGAATTGGCAATATTTCCGGCCTGGCGATGGTTGCAAAATGGTTGCTAAATGGTTGCTAGAATTACGACGGTACGTAGTTCTATTTCTGGTTCTCATCACCTTGGCGATTAACGCTTCATGTGAAGGACCAGTATTCCTCAGAGCGTGCGAACGGTTTGTTTTAAACCGTCTGGACGCTGCTGGGTAGCCGGTTAGCGTGCTAAACAGTAGCCTGTTTGAGCCGCACGATTTGCAAATTCAAACTAATTCTGACTGCACGTATCGCTTCAGGCAGCGTGTTATTGAATTTTACGATATAGCGCTTTGTTATTTGTTACTTCTAAATATGTGCAAGAAACCGTTTAGTTTGAGTGATCCAAACAATTTGGCTGTTGCGACTTTAGCCACGTGTTAGTGAAGAAGCGGCTTGTTCTGTGGGGAACGTTCCTTTCAGAGTGGGTCTTGCACTTGTAGTGCATAGTAACGATGAGACATGCACGAAGAAGGCGGCAGAGTATTATCGAGGGTACGAATTTACACGTTTTTATTATTTAGCACTCGTGCACGTATGGAATTAAGTAAATCTTTTCAGGTGTAGCAGCAGACCGATGGACTCAACTACGCCAAGAAGTCCGAAGCATCTGGTTTCTGTTTTACTGTGAGTGCGATTTAGTTGTTTTCCCCAAGAATATTTGAGTGCAGTTTCAGTAAATGATCAAGCTGAAGAATTTTACCGTTTTGTTAAAACTAGCATTTTTATGTTGAGAAATATTCATGTTCCCCATCAGGTGGCGTTCCTTAGTGAACTTCAATGCTTTTGTTTGAGTTTTAACATGGTATTGTCTTGACTTCTTTAAGGTCACAGGAAGTCAGAGCCCATGACCAAAGAATAGCCTATGAGGAGGGTACTAAGTAGTGGTTAATTTAAGTGTTTTGTAACATTGTCCTTATTTCATCTTGTTTCAGGCCAAAAGAAGAGTTAACCAAGTTGTTGCACTCCTGATGATGGGGCCATTGTTGAATCCTGTGAGCATGTGTGGTTCACAGTGTTGTACGTAATGTTGCATGTATTTATGGATTGTGATTGAATGCATGTTTTGTAAATTAAGTGTTTTTCTAATAAAAGACTAAAGTTATTATTGTTCTGTTCATTGTGGAAGTATTTATTTTAGCTTACATTTTAAATAGGATCTAAAAAGGAAACTTAAAAATGGAAACTTAAAGGAAACTTAAAAAAGGAAACTTAAAAATGGAGACTTATAAACTTTTAAATTGATTTTCTTTACCTTACCTATACCCTTAAACTGCATGTCTTAAAACAATGAGAAACCTCATTCATTTCCTCAAATATCTTGAAATGAAGCCACACAATGGTCCAATTAATTTTTTTTATTCTGGAACATTTACAACAGTTTTCAGTCACAGAGTTCACAATAAAAGTCCAATGAATGGAATAAGTGCAAATGCTAAAATAAACTATTGCCAAAAAGTGATCTTAATGCTATCTGACAATAGCATTAAGGCACAATGAATGAAATGAGCTGGAATTACACAACTTGGTAAAACACTCACAAGCCCAGCAAACAACACATGATCTGCTACAAATAGTTTTGGGGAAATTGCCTTTTTGGGGAAACTTATGGTTCTTGGGATTCTTTTTCTTGGCATTGTTCAGTTCGAGCTGAACACAACTTTAGTATTGAATTTATTGATGGATTTTACTCTTTGGTGGATGTGATGTATTTGCAACCTGTTCTAGTTAGAATGTTCAGAGTTCAGTTTCATCTGCCATTTCACATTACTCCAAACAAATATCCCATGAATCTGTCAAACTCAGCCTTTGACAGTGGCTTGGTAAGAACATCAGCTACCGTGTCTGCAGTGGGGCAGTACTCTATGGATATTTTCCCTTCTGTGTGTGCAGACTGTACAAGGGGATAATCTTTGTATGTGAAATGAGGCTAATCAGAGAAATTAAGTTGCAGAAGCGTATCAACAACAGAGTGACGTGACTTCCTCTCTGCTGTGCTTCAAAGACTTTGCCGTGTGTTGATGATGAACGCCAACAAATGGGTAATTGCAGTCGTTCGATTCCCATTGAGCGATTTGCACTTGACACACACGTTGCTGCAGGTATTTTACTTGACTTGTTCTAATTGTATACACACACACTATGGCTGTAGCGGTACAGGAAAATGACGGTTCGGTACATTGCCGGTAAGACATGTGGATGTACGATAAAATTGCCTGAAAAAGCACACATATATGAGAACTTGCCAGAGCGCAAGCCCACCGTAATGAGTCGACGTCATTTATATATATGTTGTGGTAATTAATATAAATAAAACACTTAAGTGTATCATCCACAACAGGTAACGCCGCTATGTAAACACAGACGAAGGCTAGTCCTAATGACAGTTATGCTCCGCCACAGTTTCAGTCACAGTTTTAGTTTTTAGATCCTGACTCGCGTGTAAAAACAATGGCGTCGACGTGGCCGGGGTCACCAGGTTTCTCTTTACTTGTCTGCCGTTTTAATCCTGACCGCCGCTACCCAGGCGCATCCGTGTTAACTGCTGAATAATGTGAAGTTGTGACTGTGGCGATTGGGTCCCATCACAATTGCGTTCCGGCGGAAGTAAGACTATGTCCCGCTTGCATTAAGGCTCCCCTTTACACGCCTTGAAAATGCCTGGTTACACGTGCCGTAACCCTAATAAAAAAAGGAAGAAAAAATGTAGACAGATAGACAGACATGATTTTTTACCTAGACAATAGAGTCTAGGTAAAAAATATACATGGAGGTAGGTGTAGTGTTGATATATGTTGCACATGTATGTTGTCCAGCGGAATGGACTATTGCACGTGATTGAAATTGCACATATGACAGGGTAATGTACAGATTATTGTAACAGTGATACATTAGTAGCCAGAGAGAGTCTGGTCAGTGCATATGGGAGTTCAGGATGGTTACAGTGTTAGGGAAGAAGCTTCTTGGTGATGGAGGTGATGTTTTCTGACCAGGAGATGTCGGCGGAGATGTAGACACCTAGAAACCTGAATGTTTGGACCCTCTCCACGCACTCGTCGTTGAAAAGATAGATAACATGAACACATCTGTGACATTTTTGAGGTAACTGAACACACTTTCAGTGAATGATGCTTGCACATTACCTTGTAGCTGCTAATCAAGAACTAATTAGAGGTGATTAGATGTGACTCAAACATGATTTCCAGTTCCAGTTTTAATATACAGATAATAGCAGCAAAGGTGGAGGCAGGAGTATGGAGGGGGTCCTGGACCCAGTACAGCATCTATGGGGTCTAGGTGGGGAGGAAGCACAGAGACTCCCCGGGCCAACATGTAATAGAGATGTATCAGCCGAGCGCAGTGGTCCTTCAGTGTGGAGCCGATTCAACGTCACTATTAAAGGTATGAAAAGAAACGGATTTAAGCCTTTCACAGGTATTGACTAAAAAGTGAGTGGCACATCAACTGGACAAATCCAGTACAGACAAGATTGACATTGTTTTTAAATGTGTATCTATGGACTTTATGATTGAATGCATGTTTTGTAAATGTGAAGTCTTTTGCCAATAAAAGAGTAAAAAGTTGTTGTTATTGTGTTTATTGTGGAAGTATTCTACAACTTTGTAAGATTTGTGGTTTTCATTTATTTTAAGCTTCCATTTTACTACTTCTTTAGCTAAATAAAAAAACCTAAATAGAAAAACTGAAGCAAAAAAAAAAAAA